ATTTTTAAGATTTTAAAATAAATGTCATACATCAATTTTAGTTGTTTTCAACAGGAGCATTGGTTTGAATAAAACCTAATCTACCTCTAGAGGAAGCAAAAGTTCCTTTATATGTTTTTTTAAATTTTTTTTACAATGAGCTCTATTTTTTTATTTTTTTAAAAATTAGAAAGGAGCCCTGGCTGATGTGGCTCAGTTGGTTGGAGCATTATCCAGTGGACCTAAAGGTCGCAGGTTCTATTCTGGTCAGCACACATACCCAGGTTGCAGGTTGGATCCCCAGTCTGATGAGTATGAGTCCCAGTCCAGCACATCCTGGTCCAGTGTGTACAGGAGACAACCAGTTGATGCTTCTCTCTCGCACTGATGTTTCTCTCGCTGCTGCTCTCCCTTCCTCTCTCTACTAAAAGCAATTTAAAAATGTCCTTGGGTGAGGATGAAATTTTTTTCAAATATAAATGAGATGGCATTTTTTACCTGTTGGGTAGGTTTTTAAATTTTTTACTTAAAGTTTAGATAAGGTACAGTGAGGTAGGAAATGTATAGTGAATATGTATATTGCTGGTAGGAATGTAGTAATAAAGCTTTCTTCTGGAAAAACAGTTTGATAATACATGGGAAAATCTTAACAATCCATACATGCATTTGGACAGGGTTAGGATTTGGCAAACCAGAGTCCACAGGGCAAGTCTGGCCTTCAGCGTCTTTTGTGTATGGCCCAGCAACTAAGAATGTGTTTCACATTTTAAAGGGTTGGGGATGTTAACATAAAAATAAGAATATGTAGTTGAGACTGTATGTGGTCCACAAGCCTAAAATATTGGCCATCCAGTCTAGTACATAATTGTATTCACTATTACAAACCTTTGTTAGATTAATTATACTTGCAGAAGTCTGTTAGAGAAAATTAAGATTGGGTAAAGACTAAAAACTGATGAGTGGACAAACGTACTCGGCAAAAACTTAGACTGAGCCTACATTTCTAGCAGTAATGGATAGGTAAATAGTCGTAGGCTAGCCATGTAGTAAAATTGTTCTCCAAAAATGATTATGAAACAGGGACATGTCCCTAATAAAGTGTAAGATGAAAAACAAAATATATTAATATCATATTAATATATCAAGGAAAGACTGCAGGGGTAAACAGTAAGTTTTCAAGTGGTTGTCAGTGTTAGGATTAGAGATGGGGTTTTTATGCTTTTTTCATGTTAGTTTTTTATTATGAGTTTGCTTTATACTTATGGTCAAGGAAAAAAAATGTGCCCTTTCCTCTGTCAAATCTACCAAAAGAATGTGAAGAGACATGACAGTTGAGAAAAAATTTTAAACTCCTTAGGGGTGTGTCCATGATTTATTTGTCTTTATACAGTCACTGCCAGGCATTTGCTTAGGTGCGTGGTAAACACTCATTTAAAGAATGAGTGACTAGCTCTGACCAGTGCTGCTTAGTTGGTGGGGCGTTGTTCTGCAAAATGGAGGTTGCCAGTTGGGGCACTAAGGAGAGGCAACCAATCGATGTTTCTCACCTTCTCTTTCTTCCTCCCTTCCACTTTCTCTGAAAACAAATAAATAAAATAGTTTAAAGAAAAAAGAATGAGTGACTCGCCATGGCTGAGTGCTCCTTTAGTTGAAGCATCATCCTGTACACCAAAGATGGTGGGTTAGATTCCTGTAGGGGACACACCTAGGTTGTGGGTTCACCGGGTCTGGATGTGTCTGGGAGGCAGCTGATCAGTGTCTCTCTCTCTCTCCCTCCCTCCCTCTCTCTCCCGCAATACATGCTCTCTCCCTCTCCCCCCACCTCTCCCTCTAGAATCAATGGAAATATTCTTCGATAAGGATTAAATAAATAAGTAAATAGAAATAAAGAATGAGTGACTAGGTAGTAAATATAAAAAACTGCTCAGTCTCGAGGAAACACAGATAAAACTATGTATGGCCAATCATTTTCCCCTTGCCAAATTAGCAAATGCTTTGTTTAATAAAAATGTTGATTGTCTTTTTTAATGTCAGATATTTTGGAAGGAATCATGGACATAAAATTCACCTTCTTTTTAAGTGTACAGTTTGCTGTGATTTAAAAGCTGGATTATGTGACCATTACCTCTATCAAGACAGTGAGCATTTCAACCTCTCCCAAGAGTTCCCCTGTGCTCCTTTGTAATCAGTTCTCTCTCCTCAGCCCAACACATGGCAGTCACTAGTCAGTTTTTTGTTGCTGTAGTTTTTCCTTTTCCGGAATATCATGTAAGTCTGACTTCTTTCACTTGGCATAGTTTTTGAAGTTCATCTATTTTTGTTGCATGTAACAGCATTTTGTCTCTTTCTATTGCTGAGAAATATTCCACTATATACTTATTTTTGTTTATTCTTTCACTGGTTTATGAACATTTGTGTTGTTCCCAAATTATTAATAATTAAGTACCTAGTGATAGAATTGCTGGGCCATGTGTGATGTGTATATGTAAAGTTCCACAGCTGCCGGCCTGTTATCCAAAGTGACTGCACCACTGCCTTCCCAGCACTTGCTGAGTGTTGAAACAAGTACTGAACATTGCAATTATGAGTGAAAACTCTTACATCTCTTTTGGAAAGCATAGTGGCAGTTTGAATCAAATCAGTAAAAATGTTTATTCTCTTTGACTTGGACATTCCATTTCAAGAAATGTCTTTGTAAAGAAACCCTGAAGTATGCACAGATATAGTAAAGGACCACTTGCAGTAGAAGAGTGTATGCCTACCTGTACATTCAGTGTTATGCCAGGCATTATTGTGGACTCGAAAGAAACTTGACATATTCTTTTTACTCATGGAGCTCATGATTTTAAAAAGTGCTGCATATGTGAGAAGTTATCAGTGAGCAGTGCAACATTGCATTAAATAAGTTTTAAAGCACCTTGTATTAAGGGAATAAGCAATAGGACTGGAAACTGGGATGGGTTATATTAAAACTTGACTTCAGCAAAGTTTTGGGTCGTAGCTAAAGATTGAGTTGGAGAGTTGGCGCTTTCTAGGTGGAACACAGCATGAATAGAGAGGTTAAATGTGGTCTGAGTATGTAAGAATCATTGGAATGTTTTCATGTTGATATTATAAGACAGTATTGGAGGATTTTTAAATAATAGAGCAGGAGGCCCTGGGTGGTGTAGCTCAGTGGATTGAGTGCTGGCCTGAGAACCACACAATTGTGGTTCGATTCCCAGTCAGGGCACATGTCTGGGTTGCAGGCCAGTTCCCAGCAGGGGGCACATGCGAGGCAACCATACATTGATGTTTCTCTCCTTCTCTCCTTCCCTTCCCCTCTAAAGATAAAGAAATAAAATCTTTTAAAAAAATAAATAAATAAAATAATAGAGCAGGAACAGCATGTGCTTTAGAGCTGGAAAGACCGCCACGAGGGTCTGCATCCTTATAAAAAGGCTTCAAAGGCTTCCCGGTGGCCTAGGGTTCAGCAGGGGCTCAATGGCCACTACTGTCATTTTTACTGCTACTAATAAAACTAACAGGAATTTAAGCTTGATGGAGTACTTTGATAGGAAACGTTGTTATATTTTGAAGAGAGCACTAATATATTAATTATATTTAGTTATAATTGTCAAGTGCTTTATTTAGGTTTTAAAAAATGAGAATAAAAACTTTTAAACCCTAAATATGTTCCATAGAGCCATAAGCCTTTGGGGAGCAGAAACTTTGTCCTGTTTGTTACATTTATCTTCTGTTATTATACATTGTATGAGGGGTAAGAATGGGGTGGGGCTTTGAGTTAGTCACAGATTTATAATTACCCCTATTTTGCCACATACAATGTGCTCCCGTGTACAGTGCACACCCAAGTTTTTGGCTCAAACTTTCAGGAGAAAAATCTTTCATTTTAATTTTTAATTCAATTATTTATTTATATGTAGAAGCAAAACCAATTACTGTATGCTAGGGTATTAAATTGCATATGGATATCATTATTGCTTTCTGAAAAGTTACATTTTAATGTATAAGCATAAATAAAAGAATTAAAAATATTTATATAGATATAGAATTAGTACTACCCATCCATGTATAATATGCATCTTATTTTTCCCAAAAAAATTTGGGCAAAAAAATATGCATTATACATGGCAAAACATGGAAAGTCATTGAAAGGTAAGACGAGTGTCTCCACGAGTGCTGCAGTATAGCTGTGCGGTGATGATGTTGCCTGGATGAGTCGGGTGGGTTGGCGGAAGTGTGACAGATTAAAAGATTGGAAAATCTGTTTTCAGTCAAATGCTAGTTTCTTTTGCATTTATAGTTTCTTTTATAAGTTTCTGTACAATGAGAATAGAAAAGGGGGCTGTCATTTTTTTTATTATAAAAGCTGTCATTTACTTAGTACCTTCTGTATGCTTGATGTATTACAATTATCTCACATTGTATACCTCACATTAATGTCATGTTACAGATGGGGCGGAGTTAGTGACATGCCTATGGGAACATAATTAGTAGGCGATAGAGCTGGGATATGAGCTGTGCATTTGAGAAACCAGCTCTTCATTCCAGGCAGCCTCGTCTCTAACTCTCCGCACTACCTCCCACCTCCAGTCACCTGCTGGCTTGAGGACTCCTCTGTTTTCACATGATACCCAGTTTGCAGCTACAGTTTTGCATTTACTTATGGAATTATAATTACGGTGTACCTTTGGGGTTTGGGGACTTAGCATTATCTGATTCAGCTAATCTTTCAGTATCTTAAGAATTACGTGTATAAGTTCGGTGATATGGAGAATCACAATCGACGTTGGTACACCAGAGGTGTTCCCTCCTGTGACCGTAGGTCCAGTGCTCCAATGTCAAGTTACTGGGCCAAAATCTGAGTTCTGGGTAAATGTCTTTGGCAAATGTAAATGTTCTTTACTTCTCCTTTTTTATCTACTACCCAACTTATTATTCACCTTGGAGTTCTGTCTAATAGCTATTAGTGCATGCTTATATTTAGGTAATTCATTCACAGTATTTTTAAACCATAGGTCCTCTGCTGTACCACTTTGAAAATTTGGCCAATGAACTTTCCATAGAATTGAGCTATGAGGATCTAAAAAACGTTGTTCTGCAGTATGGATTCCAGCTAGAGGTAAGGGGAGAATAAAGGATTGCCAAAATTTAACTTCCAAAGCACTTAACTAGGAATAGTGATATGGCATTTACTGGTTTTACCTCTTACCCTCTGTTTGCTCACCCATAAATGAATACTTTTTAGAATTGTAAGGATTTGGGATAATGTATATGCAAATGGAAAGTATGTGCAAATGGAAAAGTATATGATTGATATAATCACCTTTCAGTAAATGGTAGCTTACCATTATCATAACTTCGGCCTTTGTAGACTGATAGCCACCAACCACATAGACAGAGCTCTGGAGAAACAAGTTGGAGCAGGAGGGCAGGTGGAAGAGGGATATTGTTTACTATATACGCTTCTGTACTGTTCAGCCTTTTTTATTGTGTGTGTTATTATAAGGTGGTATGATACTTTGACTCATATTTTTGGCTGTATGTTAATTAGCATTCCGTTCATTTTAAAAGCAAACAACAAATTAGTTCTTAAAGATAAAGAGAATCAATATATTATAATAGCTTAGAGTTCAAGCTCTGGAGTTAGACTGCCTGAGTATGAACCCCAGATCTACCACTTACTAGCAGTGTGACCTTGAATAATCTGTTCCTTATAAAGTAGTACCAATCCAGTAGTACTTGTATGTAAGAAATGAATTAGTATCTAGAATATGTGTAAAATAGCACCTGCCACTCAAAAGTGCTCAGTATTTGTTAATGTTGTCATCATGATGGTCATTGTCATCGTTGTGATTGTTTGCATTGCAGGTGGAAAAAGAATCTGTCTTGTCAACGTATACTGTGAACGATCTCTCCATGATGAAATACTACTATGAATGTGTCTTGTTTGTGGTTCGTAAGCCACAATAATAGTCTCAAGTGATATCACCAGGGAAAAAAGTTTAATAAGAGCAAATCCTGAAATAAACAACACAGAAAAAAATATCAAATGACAGGACGCAACCTCAAATCAGTGGTGCCTTCTTATTCCTAACAAAGTTTAGAAATAGTGTCTATTTTCTTATGTCTATCGCTTTTTCAGAATTATACTATGCCATGCATATTTGTATTACACAAGTAAAAACTGAGGAAATACCTTCAAGTTTACCTTTTGCTTGAAACCAGAATTGTCTTTCAGTAGGAAAAACTTTAGTGTCTTCATGAAGCTGTCCGTTCCAAGTCTGCCATACTAACAAGTAATAGTATTGAAGTCCACAGAAATCTCCTTCTTTTTTGTTTTGTATGCATTGCACATGTTATTTTTAGAAGAGTCTAAGGATCCTCTCATTCAACATTTGGAATTGAGACTTTTTATTCATTTAGACCTAAGCATACATTAGACCTACATGAAATGTGTCTGTTCTTTTATTATTCAAATCATTTTATTTTTTTCTAGCTCAGTTGAAGTTGCAGAAGCATCAAACTTTTCATTTTTATGAAATACTAAATTTAATAGTATCACAGGCCAGTAAAAATGCATTCAGGTAATCAAGAAATTAGTAAGTGTTTTGGTCACTAAACAACACTTTGAAAGTATACTCATCATGGATCACTGAAATGTATGAAAATTTCAACAATCTTAAGTGAGGCACAAAAGCCTTTATTAAAGGTACTATTAGGAAACTGGGAGAATAAGAATAAAATCTGCCCATTTGAAATGTATGATTTCAAACTATAAATGAATATAGTTGGTCAGTGAGATGTTTACAGTAATGTCTTTTCTATGGATTACCTGGATACAAAAGCAAGCACTTTTTTTTTTCTTCATTAAAACAACTATATACTAGTAAAAACTGTCATGATAGTATTAATGCGGGGAAATTTTGAGTATGAAATTCAGGGATAAATTACTGCCCATGGTCTGTGTCTTCAATATTGTAAGCAGCAGCCATTAATATAATTTCAGATTAACACCAGTTTTGTTCCCCGATAGCTGGGGCTAAAACAGTATGTGCTGTTTTAAATTTCTACCTCTAGCAGGTCTTTATTGGAGGGAGTTTATCTTTGTGTTTTTATGTTAATCTATTTCCTATAGCTTAGAAAGTAGGGATGACAAATACAATGTTTTAACCTTTTCTTGGAGGAAAGGAAGTACTCTTGAATATTTTCACTCGTTATTGTGATGGGATTAAGTGACCTCTCTGTGGTCATTTGGATTAGATAAATTTAATCTCAGTAATGTGCTGGTAGCATAAATATCGTGTTTCAACAGGAAATTTTACTTGTAAGTCGTTAAACCTTTACAGCCAGTTGGGTTGGAGGAGTCACGACACAATTTGGCATCTCACTAATAGGGGCCTTTCTGCCTGTAGTAGGGGAGCTCTTTGCCCTTCATGCCCACTATGCAGCGAAGGAGTCTATGAGGCTGATTCGACTTGTCAGTTTATGCAAGCCTATAACCTGCTGAGGGTTGTTTTTTTTTAAATGATTTCTCTTTTTCTGTGTGTCCCTTAGTACTTGGCAGATGTTTTCTTAGTGGAAATTCTCATTTTTTACCATATAAATAAACTTGAAAAAATTGCTCCCCCAAATTATGTATTATTATTTTTAAGAAAGAAAAGAGACTTAAAAGGAACCTAGGTATTTTTTAAAAATCTACTGAAAGAAATACATACTGTTTTGAGTAATTTAGAAGAGTTTTTTTTATTCACGGACTAGTATTTACTCTTTTAGAATGCATATCAAAACAGATAATCTTGGTTTTCTTAGGCAAAAACAGGTTGAAACTGGTGGGTTGGCTTTATTACGTAAAGTTTCTGCTATCAAGTTTTATTCTTTAATAATGTTACTTACATTTATAAACTATAGCTTACATTTTAGTTCATTCTGAAATCAGTTATTTTGTTTTTAATTTCTCCCTTATGTAATGAACACTTAAATGTTTTACACAGATTTGCATTGCTTCTTTTCCTCTTAAAGCTTTCACAATTAATATATTCTAAACTTGAAAACAGTGGTATTAATCAACAGAAGAAGTGTCATTGGAAGATTTAATTTTCTATTTCCTATATGTAATATTACTAAAATGTGTAAGCCTTAACAGTTTTACTTTTTTCTTAAGTTAGCTTTATGACAGATGTTTTCATTCATTTCCATAAAACAGGAGGAGATAGGTCATTGTGCTTGCTGTTTATCCACCCCCCCCAATGAAGTGGTGCAGGTTAGGGTATGTTAATCAAGTGAGCAAGGTAGGATATGTAAAATGTAAAGAGAAGCTGTATAAATCACAGTATAAAATTATGAAGTTTTGGAATTGTAAAATGTACTGTATTTATATGTAATTCTCATTCTAAAAGTTGCCACAAAGGCTGAATTGGAAGCTTCATGTCTGCATGAAATTTCCTGTATTTTTAATGTGTATGATGGGCTTGATTTTTCTTGAATATTAAAGTCTGCCAATTGCTATGAACAATATTTGCTTGGTTGTTTCCATCTAATTCTGTGATAACCATATGGGAATTTAAATTAGTTGAGTACATACAATTTTCAACCCTTGGGTTAGCTTCTGTATGATTCTAGAAAGTCAATTATATGAGTACTTGGTCTTTGTTGCATATGCTAGGCCTTATCCTAATTATCCTGACCTTTCCTTTTGTTAAATAATAGAAAAAGAACTCTAAAGGAAGCCAGTAGGGAGTTCCAGGACCAGTCATTACTAGGATGAGCACTGGACTTGGCCCTTAGATATTCTGGGCTTGTCTTCCAAAACTACTGTTTGTGATCTTGGGCAAGGTGCTCTGGGTTTGTTTCCTCATCTCTAAGGAGGACTGATACCATCTATTTCAGAGGGGTTTTAATGAGGTCATGTGGGTAACATGTAAAACATTATATGTGAATATGTGAAAGCACAAGGTAGAAATTAAATGTAAATTCAGTCTGTGTTGACTGCTCTATACAAAAAGATGATTGGTAACGGGATATCAGTTTTAATAATGTTATTGTGGCCCTTTGAAAAAAGTTGCAGTGGGATCCTGGGCAGGTGGGAGGAGTGAAAGTTGACGTGTACAGTTTATAGATTCCAAAAGTCTAGTGGCAATTATAAAGAAATAAAATAGTAGGTAATGGGAGAGTAAAATTCAGTAGAGCGTTACTCTCACTTTATAAACATGCAAGTACATCCCTCTTAGATGTTTCTCTTCAGCAGTTATTTAGAAGTAGAATCATTCAGCCCTGGCTGGTGTAGCTCAGTGGATTGAGCATGGGCCTGTGAACCAAAAGGTTGCCGGTTTGATTCCTAGTCAGGGCACATGCCTGAGTTGCAGGCCAGGGCCCCAGTAGGGGACACATGAGAGGCAACCACACATTGATGTTTCTCTCCCTCTCTTTCTCCCTCCCTCATTTCCCTTCTCTCTAAAAATAAGTGAATAAAATATTTTTTTTTAAGTAGAATCATTCGGTCAGTGTGTATATTGCATTTTCAGCCAAGTTGCCTTTCAAAAAGAGGACCAATTTACAGGCCATCAGCAGTGCTTGAGAATAATTTTGCATCCATTCCCTGGCTAATACTGGACATTGCTAATCTTTTTTATTTTTGTCATTAGGATAGGAAAAAGTGGTATCTATTTCTTTAGTAATCAGGGAGGTTGATCACTTATGTAAGATTAATGCCCAAACAGAGGTACCCTTAATCTGCCAGTCTGTTGTTTTTCACATGGCTGACCATACAAGCCATTGGTGACAATGTAAAAGTTAGAAAACATGTAGTGGGGTTTATTCACTAAGGCAGAGAGAGTTAACCATGACTACTTTGAGTTCTCTGCACTGAGAGGAGTGCAGAGAATTCTGCATCTGCTCTTGGTTTTACATCGCTGGTATCAAGGCTGAACAGTGCTAGCAGCCCATTGGTCCCCAGTAGGTTTCAACTTGGCCAATCAGTGATCTAGGCCCAGGAGTTTAGGGGAGTGTCTGAGTCAAGAGCCCTATTGAGCCTGCAGTTTTGCTTTTAGATGGCAGAGAACGGCATCAAGTTTACCATCAAAGGAATAGTTGCAACTTTTTTGTAGCACCAAAAAGCTGCTAGGGTTAGGCCAGCAACACTCTTAAATGTGCTATTTCTGTTTGTCTTGTAAGATTTGTTCACTTTTTCACCTTGTTAGGCACCAAGTCCAACTGACCCACTCCCATATGGGATGTCAAACTAGAGTCCCAAGGCCTCCATGACTCATGCATTCAGTTTCAACGAAAGCAGGTTAATAGCTGCCTTCTTCTGTACAAAGGTGTATTTGGTAACAGTGTCAGGCAGTTGGTGCTATTGTAATATCTGGTCATGGCCTCTCTGCGTATTTCTGCAGCCATTAAGTCTTTGAGTCATGGTTTCCCTTTTTCCTTTTGGGGTTTTATATTATTTGTTGGACCACCCGGGAGGGAACGGTCTATGCAGTAGTCTTTGAATGCAGCACTCACAGGAAGAAGTGTAGGCCTATATCAATTCCATTATTCATATATAATTTTTAATTTCTGGTGTGTGGTGCTTTAAAAGTGTCCACATATCTTTTGATACGCACCCCGTTGGGACAGTCTAATTTGTTTCCTCTTGAAGTGCAGGTGGTCTGTCCCTTCTAATGAACAGACTGTGGTAGAATGTGTGATTTCTAATGCTGGGTTACAAAGACAATGCAGCGTCTGTTTTTTTCTCACATCACTGCACTAGAAGCTGGATGAGAACATTCAAATAGCCCTAGGGAGAACCCCACATGGTGAGGAACTAAGGCCTCCTCCAAGTAGTTATAGAAACGGAATGAGCTTGGAAATGGATCCTCCAGCCCCAGTTGAGCCCTCAGGTGACTGCAGCCACGTGGGCAAGTCAGAGCCACCCTGCTATGCTGATGAGTTCCTGACCCACAGACTCTTGAGAAATGTTTTAAGTCACTGAGTTTGGGGGGTTATTTGTTACACAACACTCTTTTTCTTATGTGCATCCAAGTTTCCATCTGGTTTCATACTTGCACCTGAAGAACTTTCTTTAATAGTTCTTGTATTATGGGTCTTCCAGCAATAGATTCTCCCAGCTTTGGTTTATCTGGAAAAAAATCTTTATTTTGAAAGACTCACTTGAGCACAGAATGCTGAGTTGATTTTTTATTTTTTTAAAGATGTCACTCTATTGTTTTGATGAGTACTCTTGTCTTATTTTTGTCCTTCTTAATGTGTTTTTTCTCTCACTGCTCTCAAAATTTTAAATGATTTTCAGTAGTTTGATCATGATGTATCTAGATGTGTGTAGTTTGGGGAGTCTATCCTGTTGGATCAATGGCTTGAAATTTTGTTATTTCTAAAAAGTTCTTTGCCATTACTTCTTCAAATATTTCTTCTGCCCTGTTTTCTCCTGCTTCTCCTGGGACTTTTATTACGTGACATTAGATTACTCATTATAGTCCCACTACTCCAGTGTTCTGTTCTGGTGGTTTCTGGTTGTTTGGTTTTGATTTGCATTCATTCCTGCACCTCAGCCCTATCGCTTTTTATTCCTTTTTACCTATCTTCAAGTTCATTAAAACACTCCTCATCTGTGTCCATTCTAATGAACCTGTTGAAAACATTGTCATTTCTGATGCACTTTTTATCCCTAGTATTCCCATTTACCCTTTATAGTTTTAATCTCTCCACTGAAATTCTTCACTGCAGAGAATACAGCTCACTTTTTCTATTATGTCCTTTAATATAGGAATTTTAGTCTCTGACAAAATCTCAATATCTGGGTCACCTGAGTCTAGTTCTGTTCATCACTTTATCTCTTGACAGGTTACCACCCCCCCACTGCCTTTTTCTTTTTCCTGAGTCATCGAATTCCATTTACTGTGTAGAAAAAGAGCAATCTGAGGAAAATAGCATTTATGCCTGGGTATGAACGTATGCCTCTTAGGGGTCATTATGGGAGGTTGGATCAGTCTTGTGAGAACTTGAGTCAGGTCTGTGTTTTGGTATTTGCAGAGCATCAGTCTGCAGATTTCACCAGCAGCAAGCTGTGGTTGCCTTGTGCTTACAGTGGAGAACAGGATGGCAGTGGGGTTTTCCCTCCATGGTGTTCGTGCTTCATCTCCAGCATTCATATGTCTCTGTGTGGCTTCATCTCCAGCATTCATATGTCTGTGTGGCTTCATCTCCAGCATTCATATGTCTCTGTGTGGGGGCGACTTTCCTCGAGATTCCCCCAGCTGCCAAGGATGAGAGTAAACATGACTGAGACATGATGTGATCTGCTTGGGGAGAAGTGGCCATTTTCCCAGAGGAAAAAGGCCATGAGCAACCAGTTTCTTGGGGGGAAAGGCCAGCAGCGGCCTGTTTCTCAGAGGAAAAAAAAGCCTCAAGCCCCTTCCTCCAGGGCCTTTTATTGGACTGTAATACACAGGAGTACAGGGCTGCAAGGATCAAACAGTAGATAGTCTGAGTCAGAGTCTGTCAGGAACAGAGTTTTAGGGTTTCCTGCTCAAACCCTTAATATATGAATGAAAGCACTCTTAGCAGAGCAGATTTCACAGGTTTATCAGGAAGTCTTTGTGATGCCAGATTTTTCCCCTGGACATACTTAGCAAGGCAAGGAGCTGCACCTCTACCCAACAGGTATTCAGGCTTAAGGGGATTAGAGCCAGGAAGCACCCCTCCCAGGAGACATGGGGACTCGGGCTTTGTCAAAGTTGGGGGCAAGAGTCCATTGCTCTCTGTTGCAGCCCCCCCCCAGTCCTTCCATGAAGGCCTCCCCACATGATCAAGTCTAGCTTAGGTTGCCCCCCGCTGTGAGGGGTGTTACCGGTCATTGACTTACAACCAAGCTTTAGGGGCAGGGAGAGGAAACTGAGGCAGCATTGCTACCAGAGACAAGCTTTGTCTCCTGTGGCTCACATTCCAGAGGTCGTTGCTCACTCATCCTTAGCCACAGGGGGTAGAGTTACAATTCCTAGAACCAGGCAGAGCGGTCCACAACATCTCTGCATGCTTTAGCCACTGAGGAATTCCCAGTCCGTGCCTCTGCCTCCCCCCAGAGGAAAACCATTTCTCATTAGTCTGTGCTAGTTTCCTGATAGGGCAGTGGGAGCTGCCTTAGTCCAGCCGTGTGCACCTGGGCCTCCTACAGGGGCCTTTGTCAGCATCCTCCCCGTGCGTTAGTGGTTGGCCTCAAGCAGAAATTTCCTGCTTCCAGCAGCAGTGTCAGTGGAGGATAGTAGGTGACAAATTATCTTCTGCTCCTCTCCCCACAGTGTAGACTTTTGCTTCGAGTTTTCCTTAGAGGATCTTGTCCTGGGGGTGATGGGGTTTCCTACCCCAACCCGTGTGCCTGTTCCTGGGAGCAGCCCCTGTGCTGTATCTGTCTTCCTGCAGTGGGGGGCTCTCTCCATGCTCTTCTCCTGCCCCAAATCTTTCTCCGGAGCACCCAGCGGAAGATAATGAAAAAGCTTATGAGTGAGTGCACGTATCCC